TTTTTTTTACATGTCCACTGCAGTCGTGCCTTACCCACAAATCTCAATTGATGGGGTTACAAAAAACAAAGTGGCCGTAATTTTGGATTTTTCGTTTTTTTTAAATACTCAATCGACGTTGGTGATTCATATGCGATCATATATGAGGTATGGGGAAAAAATAATCTAACAGAAGCGACGGATGAAGGCAATCCGGAATCCAAAATTATGGATGAAGACAATTAACAAAAAAAAATTACAGATAAATTTTTTTATCAGAAAAATCAAGCTCTAATACCATGATGATACGATAGAGACGACACAAAGTTTGGAGATGAAAATCATCTCAATGGGATGATACAACTCTCTATTAACCAATAATATATACACAAAACTAAGGCTACAGTTACCTAAAGATAACCTAAGACTAATATCGTAAATACACAAATATACACAATAACATCTTCAGTAAGTAATCCTCCCTATATCCTCCCTTTATATTATTCCCGAATGCGCTGACCTACATGGCTGCTTCTGGTGCTTCGGAATTCTACTTGACAAAGAATCATCATTCGTAATTAGGTTTGGACAAATAATATTGATATATTAATAATTAATAATCTGAGTTCGAACATTCCATAAATATTAAATACATAACTTAGGTATTTTAATATCACTTGTACTAATATAACCCTTTAATTCTTTGTAATTTTACATAGTGAAACATTAAGTGACTAATATATCAATGACTTTTGATATGTCTCCTTCAATTAGTTATTTAATTGTAAATGTATATTAAAAGTTGATAACTTTTGTATTTATTATCGGTTTTTCATATATAATATATCAAATTAATCATCTTTTGATGATCTTCGATTTGACATTCATATTGTATATATATGAAATAAATAAATTATATTTACCTTTATAATAATAAAAAATAATAATATTTATTAAAATTCATTACAAAAATGAAATTATTTCTCAATTGATATATTTATGTTTAATGTAATTATATGTTGTAAGTTAAAAAATTATTATAATATAAACAAGTAAGTCGCACAAATAAAAAAATATCATACTAAATATATAAAAATATATATATATTTTATAAAAAATATTTAAATTTTCAATTACTTTTTTCTCATTAATATTTTATTTGAAGAAAAAATTAGCAAACACCTAATACACGTGTACGAGTAAGTATAATATTTACAAAAGATAATAAATAAATAAACACTCATAAAAAAGTTCAGAAATCAGCTACTGGTTGGCTCACCATAACTGTGGTACGGCCCTCCCACAGCGCCTTTCGTCCGTTCGATCTCATATCCCGCGTGCATACGCAAATTTTCCCCGTCAGAACAGAGCACTCAAATACACGCAGTTCTCCCAAATTGAGTTTGTCCATTTTCGTCTCCTCCACACACATACCCCCCCTCTCTCTCTCTCTCTCTCTCTCTCGATAATTTCTTTCTCTCTGCACCAATCTATACATATACAGTCGCTATATGCATCTCTCGCTGTGATTTATCCCATTAGTTTTCTTCTGCTTTTTTTTTCCCCTCTTATTTCTTCCTTTTCTCGAGGAAATGGAAATGATCGCCGTCGAGGATTCGAACTTTGTTACGGTTTGTTGCTACGCTATCGGTGGAGGAATGGTGGCCGGAAAACGAATATCCCGAGGATTTGTTAATCCTTTCGTAATACCTAGGGTGCCGCCGTGTTGTAAGTTCAGTGCCCTCTAAATTTGAAATTAGGGTTTGTTATCATATCTGTTCAGTCCCTGTTTTACTTTGATTCGAGGTGCTAGCCGTGGATTTGAACTTGGTAGTGAGCACGGTGTAGGGTTCTTTGAAGCTATTGGTTTTGGAACTGTTGCGTGCGGGTTTTATTGTTTAAAGTCAGCAGGGGTTCGAGAAATCTGCGGGTTTTTTTTTTTTTTTTTTGTTTAATTTGGTATAATGCGTGGATTAAAATTGGGTAAAGTTCGAGTTTCTTACTGAATTCCGTCCGTCTTCACTTTAGCTGCTCATGTCCTTGTACAGATTGAACCTGATGAATTTCATGTCCCATGAACAGCTTTGAACTAATCAACGATTTTATTGGTATATGAGCTGTTTCGGTTAAGAGATTGGAATTTAGATTATCATATACGGTTTCATTCGAGAGAAGATTCTATTCACGACTTTGAATGGCGGGAAGAAAGGAATTTGGGTTTCCGCAGAAGAGTGTTGGTAGTTTGAAAGAGCAGTTGGTAAGAACAACTCTTCGGAATGTGAGATCACAAGGGCACCCATATGTTGACCTTAGGGAAGATGGGAAGAAGTTGATATTTTTCTGTACGTTATGTCTTGCGCCTTGTTATGGAGAGTCAAGTTTGTTTGATCACTTGAAGGGCAACCTGCATAGCGAAAGACTAGCCTCTGCTCAAGTTACACTGATGAAATCAAATCCATGGCCGTTCAACGATGGTGTGTTTTTCTTTTATAATGATTTGAAAGAGCAACATAAAAGTGTCCATGTTTCAGAATCTGATCAACACAAATTACTGGATGTGAGTCACGTGGATGCGGACAACCTTGCTATTGTTAGTTATAAGCAAAACTTGGGGCCGAATGGCAGTACTTATGTTCCGCAAGAAATTATGGCGAATGCCGATTCTGGTGAAGCTCCCTGTGGTTCAAATCTGGAAGGAAATGGAACTACTCATGATCTTGTTATTCCAGCTGTGCTTCAAAAAGACGAGGTATCTGATTTGATGGTGAAGCATATGGGAGTAGGACAAATTGGTGCTAGGTTTTGCAAGAAGGAAGGTATCACCAATGATATCCATAGAATATGGTGTGAATGGCTCGGGGATATAGAATTTACCCCTGAGGATACCAATGTCGTTCCGGAACATGAGTTTGCTGTTGTTACGTTTTCTTATAACTACAACTTAGGTCGGAAGGGGGTACTCGATTGTTTTAGAAATTTGCTTCCCTCTAGTCCTCATTCAGAAGTTGAAGATAGTGGCAGTTCTAGAGGTAAAAAGAGAAAGTCATTTTCTGATCCGGAGGATATTAGTTCAACAAATCAAGGGTACTCTTCTGAAGAAGATTCTCCATCTTTGAACAATTCAAGTTTGAGAATTATGGTGTCTGGAAATGATGATCAGCTGGTGTTTTCACAAATTCTTTCAAGCAAAACCATGAGGAAGCAGTTGAGACACCAACAGCGTGTTGCGTCTGAGAGGTCGTGTGACATTTGCCAACAGAGGATGCTTCCATATAAAGATGTGGCAGCTCTTTTCAACAGGAGAACTGGAAAGCTAGCCTGCAGTAGTAGAAATTTGACTGGGGTTAGACATTTTCTCTGACTTTCTCTTCGTAGTGGTTGACTTATAATGCTGATTTTGTAGTGATGTCCTTTGTAATTGTTCTGAACTATTAATTTTGTCTCACGTTTTATGCTTCCTTTTGTTTCAGGCATTCCATCTGTTTCACACATCCTGTCTCATTCATTGGATATTGCTTTGTGAGGTAGAACTTTATTCAAAACAGTCAGTTGAGCCTGAAGTGAAACGGAAATCCAGGAGAAAGGTTAAATGCAAAAGTGGTGAAATTAGGAAAAAGCCTGAAATGCAGGAGAAGCAACTACACTCTGTGTTCTGTCCTGAATGCCAGGGTACTGGTATTAAAGTTGATGGGGAGGAGGTGGAGAAACCCATTGTCCCACTCTCGGAGGTTAATGGTTTTCTTGGATCGTTGTAGTTGTTTATCTGAATTATTATAATCTAAGTTGTTTATATATTTTTCCAATTTGTTGTGTGTGTTTGTGTGTTTTATCTTAATATCTACTAGGATTTGACAGAGAATTAGGTGCATATAGTTGTCCTGGAATTGGTGCCTTCATTACTATCTTTTTTCATATTTTTTTAACTCATCCCCCCTTTTTCTGTTTTGTTTGATACCTTTATCTTTTCAGGTATTCAAGCATAAGATCAAACTATGTGATGCTCGTAAAGCATGGATGAAAAGTCCGGAAGTGTTGCAGAACTGCTCAATGGGGTTTAGCTTCCCCCATAGTTCTGGCGAATTTTGTCAGGTAAAGGTTGTCTAGTTGTTTGTGCTATTTGCATCTGCCAAGAGTATGTTATCGACATTATTTTATCATCCATCAAACTAAATCTCTAACCACTAACATAATAAAATCTTATTGCTCCACGTTGATGCTAACAAATTTCGTTGAACTGCCCATTTTTCAGGAAAATGTGACACCCCTGAAATTGCTACACTTCTATCGTGCGGTTGATTAGATTGAGTTGTAGATACTTAGACATGGGAGACATGTTCATTTTCTGACAAATCTGATGTGTATGGTACTTCTGACAACTATAATGGTTGTAAATGTGCTTATCCTTGAAAAAACTGTAAAGGTTGTATGGTGTTCCTAGTAGTTGTATAGGCGCGCGTTTGGCTGGTGTGTAAAATTTTAGTTTATCCGAAAATGCATATTTCGTTTATTTGCTTGCGCTGAATACTATGGGATTCATCTTCCCGTGTATCGAGCAGGTATTCTGTAACTTCTAAATGTTTCAGTCTAACAGAACACCGAAGAAAGACAGAAATGGATGTGGTTGCTATAATTATGTCTATGTAGGGAGTCGTTCCAAGGTAATTAAGAATGTGAGGCTCAATTACAACCATTCATTGATTTAGTTTTAAATTTTAATAGATGTAAATTGGTTGCAAAGAATTATGCATCATTGAAATGCAAATGCACATCAATCAACTAAGAAACTATTCATCATTGAAATGTAAATATACATCAATCTTTTTCTAAATAGTAGTATCATTGCCAATACTTGGGTAATTTCCTTGAGCTAGTAAGTCCTCTTTTTTCTCTTTCTAAAAACTTAATGAAAAAAAAAGGAGAGATTCAATACAAATATTGACATGTTACATATAACTCTTTCTAAAAAACTTGGACTATTAAAATTTAAAATAGCGATTAATCTTAACTTAAAATATACAAATAGGTTATAAAAAATATTTTCGCATAAATATAAAAAAAAAAAAAAATTTGTTTTTATATGTACAATATGAGTGCTAAATTAAAATTTATATGTAAGGATGACTAATATATATTCCATCCACAACAAAGTACGTAGGTGGAGAGGGGTGTCGTCAGGGTGGAAAGTGTGCCTCTAGCGAATGGTGATCCGAGGCTGGCCAGGAAGTCAGCGGGCCGGTCCCCCTAGCGGAAGATGTGCAAGATTCGGTAGCGAACCGACTGAAGTATCTGATGCTCATGAGCGGGTGTTGAATCTGCCACGACTGAAGACCGATCTATAGCGTCTAACCTCCGCGTCGTAGCTCGAGGAGGCCTGAAGAGGGACGTGGAAGGTGACAATGAGAGCTCCGCGGTGGTCCCTAGTTAGGCTTACCACCTCCGGCTACTCCGGTGAGTTGATTGAAAGATTCATTGATGTTCAACTTAACTCAAGGGGAGTCCGGTCTCTGCCAAACAACTGCTCTGGGACATGGGTGTTGGACAAGCGGCAGTGGTGTCGGAACAAGGCGACAGGGCGGCATGCAACTTGTTCAGTCTCTAGGCGTAAGTATGCCTAGAGCTGTGAAGAGATAGTGATGTCGATTAACTTGCAAAACAATGTGAGAGCGCACAAACGTAATATCCATATGCTCCGCATTGTTCCTCTCTGTCCCACTGAACCACATGATCATACAGGAAATGAAGAAGTCCACGTGTAAAAAAATGTGTGCGCCGTGAGAAAAATCTAAGAACATAAAGAAACGGTCGATAGTGAGTAAGTGTATACGAGTACATGAGCACAAAGCAATACTACAAAATTTTAATGTCTATTTTATTATACTTCCAGCATAAATTGCTAAAATTTTCCCAAAAGTTGAAATGGAATTTGCATTTACCAAAATCTGAATATATTCATTCAGACGTTCACCAATGATCCCTGCTAAACCCTTGTTCAGCTCTAAAACGCCATTTTTGTTCCCGTCTCACCACAATTTCTGGAATTTCTTCGTCAAGGATCCTCAGTCTTCCATGGGTACGAAGCCCATTTCCACAAAATACTCATCTTCAACGCCAAAATATGCGCAGGAAATAGCAGACGCCGAGGGCAGCATTAGCCTACAAGAATGGCAAGGTTGGGGCCCCATTTCGCCAGTACCCTCGACGGTTAATCAAGTTATTCACGACTTGAAGCTTCTGGAGAATGAAGTGGGCGCTTGCATGACGTTTGATGGCAACCACGGCAAACTCTCGGTTGAAATTACAAACACTCAGTTCATATATATATGTATATATGTGGATGCTGTGTAGAATTGCTTGTTTTGAGAACTTAATTTGAGTTTATGTGGTGTGTAGGCAATAGTTGGATTTAGGTGGTGTTATATATGGTTATGGTGAGATGTGTAAACTATAACTGGTGTTTTCTGTTGTTTATTTTACTGCAATTCTTAGATACGCTCGCCTTTGTAGTGTCTTTGGCTATGTTCTACTGTAGTTTTCCGGTTCTCATTCTGGTACCTCCCTTTCGAATTTTCATCACCAGAATTTAGTGCCCAAATATGGCATTTGTGTTTTAATGTCAAACTATAGGTACTGAATTGAAACAGAATGGTACTGAGTATTGGTGTGGCGATTTCATGAGTTCTTTTGTCTGCAACGATGTTTTTCGTTAATTGTTAATTTTTCAAGTCGAGTTAATTACTAAAGTAGGTATCTCGAAATCCTTGTTTGCTGTTCGGGATGATTGGATTATTTATGCTGTTATTGGTTCTTGTTTCACAGTTACATGGTGACATAACAGTGTGTTAGATAATTGGAGTTTAGTTGACTACTTCTCGGGACAGGTTCTCTTCAGTAAGACTATAGTTCATGTGCTAGCTTCACATTGTTGTTTTGGATAACAGGGAGGTTTCAAGGTGCATGAGGATAAGAAACATAGAGCAAAATATGCGAGTTTAGGTACTTCTGAAGAAAAAATCCAATTTTTTTCAGCTCGCCAAATAGCTTGCCGGTTACTTGGAAGTAGGGGTTATCTATGCCAGAAGGTATATAGTTGGTTGCCTTTTTAACTTTTCATTAAGTATTTATGTTTATACAAGTAATCGGTTATTGCTTCTTCTAAAATATTATTCACCTCACTTGACTTGCTATTTCTTTTCAATTTGATTGGGTAACATTCAGTTTTTTCAAAACTTTCGCATACTTGCTTTCCAAAATCTTCCTGCAGTGCTGGCTTGCATTGGAAGATTGCATGTGTTCTAAAGTTACAAAGTGTTCCCTTTGGCATAGAGTGCATATTTGGTTGTATATGCACCCCAAGGTTTGAGTTTCTATAATCTTACTCCTTTAACATTTTATTTTTTATCAGTTTAAAGAAGAAATGGAGCTATGTTCTGTTCTCTCTCGTTCGAATGGCGTGAAAATTAGCTTTTGAGAGTATTTGGAGAATATTTGTTTTTCACAAGAAAAGATTAAAAACAAAAGTATCTATGTGTTTACAGTTTACTTGATTTGAAATATAAAATATCATTCTTTTAAATTGGGCTGTGAAGTTTAACAACAATTCGGGGGGAGAGCGATCCAATTCTCTCTGGGAGAGCGATCCAATCTCTCTGGGAGAGCGTTTCTTTGTTCGATTCTTGGTGTTCATTTCTTCATCTGATTTCCTTGTCCCTTTGATTCGTTCGCATTCTGTATCAATTCTTGCTATTTTTCTCAATCTGTAAACCCTAATTCCGATGGGATCCCATTCGGACATTGGGCAAGATATAGAGCTCCTGCAAAAAATGGAGAGTTTTTCTTTATCCTCAAAAGAAGACTTAGTCACGGACATCAGGCAAGAGGATATTAAACTCAGCGATGAAGAATGTCAACGATGCCTCTTCGGGAAAGTCGTTGGCGACCGGAAAGCGAGTTGGATTGGAGTAAAATGTGCAATGTCCTTTATTTGGAAGCTTAGACAGCCTATGGAGGTCAAGGAACTGGGGCATAACTTCTTTCAATTTATCTTCCAAAGTAAAGAGGATATGGCCAGGGTTGCTATGGGCATAAATTGGAGTATTGATAACCAGTTTCTTGTTTTATCCCCATGGCGAGCGGGTCTTTCTAGCAACCATCCTGTGTTCCAAGAACTCAAATTATGGGTACAAGTATTAAATCTCCCTCTTAATTGGCTGAGTACAGAAGTAGGATTGAAGCTAGGCCGGGTGTTCAAGGAGGTTATTAATGTGGTGGTCGTTGGTGCTGGCAGTCACGGGGGTAAAGTGCTCCGCCTACTAGTTTCTATTGATTTAAACGAGCCTCTCATCTGTTGTTCTAAAATCAGATTGGGAGAACAGATTGTCTGTGTTAGTTTCAAATATGAGAAACTTACTAATTTTTGCCATTACTGCGGGTTTATCGGGCATTTAGAAAGGAGCTGCTCTAAACGTATGGATGACATTAAATCAAAAAGTTTAAGGGAGGGCCAGTATGGGGATTGGCTGAGAGCTCCTGATGGACAGCATTGGGCAGGTATGAATGCTACTGACTCTAAAGATTCTCCTTCTGATTCTCAACAACCTGAGTCACAGTCTCCATTAAAACCATCAACCAGCCAAGGGGAGGACAACAACCAGTTAGTTATGATTCACAGTGACTCAGCTAAGCAGCATCTTCACACTGTTAATTCTGCTAACTCTATTGAGGAAGAGGAGGATATTTCTCAAACTCCTGAGGCTATGATGATTATGCAATCCCCAAATCCTGCTATGACTTCTTCTTCTAGCAAGGCTCCTAATCCACCTGAACAAGAGCCTGCTAAGGCCATTGTATTGAACACCATTCAAACCATCCAACATCAATTCAATTCAAAGCAGGATAACATTATGATGCCTCAAAGAGAGCTAGCCAGAACGTGGAAAAGAGCTATTTCCAAAGATGGTAGACTTCAGAGACAAAGCTCATGCCTCATGATAAAGGACTCTGCTGCTGCAGGGAAGAGACAAAGGTCTGAGGAGGAGAATAACAGCAGCAGGGCAGCAGGGACAAAGGTAAATCAATTGAGGTGGTTGATAATAAGAAACTGAAATCTTCCTCTCAAATCAAATCTTCTTCAAAGGTGGGGGTGGCCAGCCTGGATTGGCACCCAAATGACCAATGTTAGCTGCGGTGTGGAATTGTAGAGGGCTGGGTGGGCCCTCTACAGTTTTCCAAATCAAAGAGTCTTGTAGAACTCACCACCCAGTGTTTTTATTTTTGTCAGAAACAAAAAAACAAAAGTCTTTTGTGCAGTCTGTAAGTAGGAATTTGGGTTATGATGATAGATGTGCTATTGTGGATCCTATTGGTTCCAGTGGAGGACTTGTTCTGTTCTGGTCTTTAGATGTGGAGGTATTGCAGCTGATTTGCAGGGATTTTTTCATTGCCATTGAATTTAAGTTACAGAATGAGAGGAAGACTTGGGGTATCTTTGTTTATATGAACTCAGAAAGAGGGTTAAGAGAATCTCAAAGACAAATTCTTCTTCAGGAAAAGACTCAGTGGGGAGATGAGTGGTTTGCTATGGGGGACTGGAATGATATATGCTCCCCTGCAGAAAAGAGAGGTGGCAGGAAGAGAAATTCCTGTAGCTTTCTTGAGTTCAACAACTTTATCTCTAGTATGGAAATGGAAGAAGTGACTATGGCTGGCTATCAATTCACATGGGCTAATAATAGGGAAGGGGAGGGTTTGGTGGAAGAAAAGCTTGACAAAGGTTTTGCTTCTTCAGCTTGGCTACAACTCAACCAAAATGCCTCTATTCTGAATGTTCTAAGAAGTGCATCTGACCATTCCATGATTCTCCTTGACTGTGGCAAGTTCAAACCAAAAAGCAAGAGGAGATTTAAATTTGACAACAGATGGTTAAAGATGGAGGGCATCTCTGAAGTCATCAACCAAGCATGGGCAATTCCCCAAACTGGCACTCCTCTATTCATTCTGAAAGAAAAAGTGAAGGCTGCCAGAATAGCTTTACTCAAGTGGAGTTCTCAATCTCACTCTCTCAACAAAGCCAAAATCGAAGATATCTCAGTTAAATTGGAGAATTTGAGGGAAGAAGGAATGGCTGACCACTGGGAGGAATGGGAGAGTCTCACATTTGAATTAGAGGAAGCTCACAGACATGAGGAGCAATTTTGGAAACAGAGGGCTAATATTCAGTGGTGGAAGGAGGGAAATGCCAATACTAAATTCTTCCATGCCTATGTTAGACTCAGGAGAAAGCAAAATTCCATATCAAGATTGATTTCTGGGAATAACAAGCCTGTCACTGATCTTGATGAAATCCAGAGGCACATTTCGGACTACTTTGCTTCTTTATTCAAATCTGAGGGCTCCTGGGGGGGTGATGCCTTGATTCAGCTGATTCCTAAATCCATCAATGATGATATGAACCAGCTATTATTGAAACCTGTGGGTGATGAGGAAATTAAAAATGCTCTGTTTAGCCTCCCTGCTGAAAAATCACCTGGTGAAGAAGGTACGAATGCCTCCTTCTATCAACACTTTTGGAAAATCATAAAACCTGACTTCATCCCAGCCATACAAAGCTTTTTTGACTCTGGTTCCCTTTTGAAATACTGGAACCATACTCTTGTTACCCTAATCCCTAAATGCAAAAATCTAGAATTCCTTAGTCAATATAGACCAATCAGTCTCTGTACTGTTGTCTACAAAACCATCTCAAAAATTTTGGCTCTCAGACCCAAATCTTGCCTTGATAGTTGCATTAGTCCCTGTCAGTCTGCTTTCTTGCAAGGTAGGCAACTCTTGGACAATGTTATCATTGCCCATAAGCCTACCATTTTCTCAGCAGGCACAGATCCGGGAAAAACTTCTTTATGGCTCTCAAACTTGACCTTATGAAGGCATTTGACCGGGTTGAATGTGGTAGCTTGCACAAAATAATGGTGAAAATGGGTTTTAACCTGCAGTTTATCAATCTTATTATCACCTGCCTTTCTTCTGCTACCTTTTCCTTCAATATCAATGGATCTACTGGTGGGTTTGTTAGTCCCTCGAGAGGAATTCGACAAGGAGACCCGCTTTCTCCTTTTTTGTTTCTTATTATTGCTGAAATGCTCTCTGCTATGATCAAGTAAGCTGTGGATAATGGTTCTCTGTCTGGTATTAGAATCTCAAGAGAAGGCCCTATTTTTTCTCATCTATTGTTTGCAGACGATGCCTTATTCTTTTGCAGAGCTGGAGTAGATCAATCCCAGGTGCTCACTTCTATTCTGGACAGATATTGTTTATTTAGTGGTCAAAAAGTCCACTGGGGAAATCTACTATTATGTTCAGTAAGAACACTCCTCTGTCTTTGCAACACAACATCTGCAACAGCTTGCAAGGTATTAAACCTCACAATTCTTGTAGATATCTTGGACTTCCACTGGGCATTGGAAAGTCCAAGAGGGAGGCTTTTGAATATGTCTTGTAGGCAGTCAGAGCTAAATTATCTAGCTGGAAGAATAAATTGTTAACTGCTGCTGCAGACAAAGAAGTGCTTATAAAAGTTGTTTTGAGTGCACTTCCAATATTCACAATGGCTTGCTTTAAAATCCCTATTTCTGTAGCCAAGGAGATCTCAAGGCTTTGTGCACTTTTCTGGTGGAGTAAAGGAGATCAGCAAGATAAGGGACTGCACTGGAAATCTTGGGATTCCTTATCAATTCCCAAGAGTGATGGTGGTTTGGGTTTTATGGATGTGCAGCTATTTAACAAGGCTTTGATATGTAAACAGCTTTGGAGAATTTCCTCCCAACCTGACCTGCTTGTGAGTCAAATCTTAAAAGGTAGATATTTTCCCTCTTCCTCCATCTTTGAGGCACACAAGTCTCAGCACAGCTCTTGGTTATGGAATTCCTGGTTATCTGTCCTTCTTGAGTTTGCTAGGGGTTTCAAAATTGTTGTGAGAAATGGAGCAAATACAAAGATAGATGAAGCCAATTGGGTGCCAAATCTGGGAAAGCTGAGACCTGAGTTGCTGCCTATTGCAAGAGGTCATATAATCTGGGTGAAAGAGCTCCTTGATAACAATGGGACTGAATGGAATGAATGGCTGGTAAAACAGTTATTTGGGGCAGAAGATAGCAAAGCCATCTTGAAGATTAACACACTGAATCCAGACAGACCTGACAGGTTAGTGTGGAGCCTTCACAGCAAAGGTAAGTTCACAGTATCTTCTATCTACTCTGATCTGGTTCTTAGAAAGGTTCAAAGACTTGACATACCTGAGGGGAGTTCAAACTCCAAGGCTATCAAATCCATGAGATCCAGAACCTGGAAACTGAAAGTTCATTCAAAAATCAAGCATCTGTTATGGAAATGCTGCTCAAAGGCTCTGGCTGTTAAAACTGCTCTTGCTCTGAAAGGTTTGGACATCGATGTTATTTGTCAATCATGTGGAGAGGAGCCTGAGTCAGTTGAACACGTTTTCTTTCATTGCTCTAAAGCCAGAAGACTTTGGGAAGTTGGCCCTGTGTGCTGGAATGATCTTCAAGACCCAAGCATCACCTTCATATCTTGGTGGAGACATATCAGCCTATGTGCGAATAATGATGTTTCCGAAGCTAGAATCCAAGTCACTACTTATATGTTGTGGTGGCTTTGGCGTTCGAGAAATCTCTGGCTTTTTGAGGGAACAAACCTGCCAACTCCTATTGTTCTTAATAATGCAGTAAGAGAATGGCAGGCTTTTAGCTCTTTGTAATTAGTCTGGTTTTTCTTTTTTTAGTGCAGGGGATCTAGAGCTAGGCTTTTTGCAGTGGTTCTATTTCTTTCTGTTTTGTTTTTTTCTTGCTTAGTTGTTGCTGCTGTGTTTTGGTCCAGTGATGGGCGTCTAGGCCTCTTGCATGCGTGTCCTCCTAGTTTTTATTTCGATTTTATTTGGCTTTGTATTCAAATCTGGTTCGCTTTGAGTTATATATTCATCTCTATCGTTTTGAACAAAAAAAAATTGGGCTGTGGGCCTTCTGAAATGTGATCCAGCTTTCGAGATTGGTTTGAAGTAGGGTGAAAATAAGGCCATAATGTGGAATGATTTCAGAAACATATCCTAAAAAAACCTGATACAAGTTTGCTCGTTTTTTAAAAATGCAAATGATTTTGAAAGATAACTATGAAGGCGGTTGAACCCTCTTTTTTGTTTTTCCTACTTTTCGTTATATGGAAATTCAAATCGCATCCTCACATGGCATTTTCCGTTTTTGGCAGGACTTCTTAAGACAGAACAATACTGGGAAGTTATTGTGGCAAGTATTTGGTGTCAAAGCTGCAAGTTTGTGTCTCTTTGGCATAACTGAGGATGAGGAAATAATGTGGAATGAATTGAGTCGTGCAGGTAACAAAATCTACACTGGGCACTGTTCTAAATGTTTTACCCAGCATCTGAGTCTATTCTGGGGCTTTACATTTTCTATGAGCGGAGTGCATAATTTGGATGAAGATTTTGACTGCCCCAAAATTTGTGTGTTGCTTTATGAATACCACCTTCCCCTCCTTATCTTGACTGTCATTATTAATCTATGTACACCATGGTTCTTCAGTATTCTTTATCAGAAAAATTTTTATTTATCGGCACATTTGGAAAGATAATTTTCTCTATTTTACTCTCTATAAGTGGCTCTGACTTAACTAACATCGATTTTCAGGTAGAAACATGGTTTGGTGCCTCTACCCAAGTAAAAATGCTTTTACTGAATCTGTCAAGGATGGTGTTGGCTGTTCCATGAATCTAGAAAGCCAAGGAGTACTGGTAACATTCTATTGATCTAAATAATATAGGCACTAGCGAGATCTTTATCATGTATAGCTAATGCAATTTTTATTGTCAAACTAGCAATGTTACCCATGCCAATGCACAGGAAATCGTTCAAAAATTGTCAAAAGACAATGCATAAGTCGTATAAATAAAACTTACAATATTATTTAACATTTCTTGTCCCCAACATGTCTGCAAACAAATTAATAATTTCAATCACTTTCTGTTTATAAAACACATACCTATATAAAAAGTCATTGTTTTGTTGTTTACGAATAAATTAATATTTAGTCACTTTCTATTTATGAAGCATATACCTATTTAAAAAGTTTTTCTTTTCATAAAATATGTAATCTTAAATTTTAAATAAATATTTCATATCTGAAATCATCTTATTTGCGAAGTATTTATTAAAATTTTTCTTACTGCTATTATAATTTAAACTAAGCACTTTATGTATTGTTTTGAACATATTTTATTTAAACTTATAATCATCACTGAAGACACCAATATAATATTTTTAAGTACTAAAAAATAACCTATCCCAAAATAAAAAATAAAAAAAGACAGGCCCATACGAAACTCAGTAAATGAGGAATGGTTCTTTATTCAATCGGTGGTGCTCACAAATTTTAGCGTCAAGTGATTGTCCAAAACTTTGTTGTTTTATACATCTTGAATTCTAACACATAAGAGGGTTTTAGTTCCTCCTTTTACAAACTTACATCATATGGAGTACATCAATTTCCCTTATTTTTCCAGCCTAACATCCAATCAAATTTCTAGAAATGAACACAAAATATATTTTCAATTTTAGAATCTTATCCCTTCAATTTCCTATTGCAATTGTTTTCATGGTTTTAATTCGTAGGTCATATTCATGAACATAGAACAAACACCATTTTAACTTGTAAAATAAAAATGACACTTAGTAAACTTAACATGAGAAACTGCTTAAAAGTTTATTTGTAATATCACATATGAATATTCTTCATAACAAAGTGGTATAAAAGTTTAAGATTTAAACCCATAGTTTTGAAACCCATACATAACTGCCATTTTCTTTGCCTGTAATTATTATTATGTACTGTACTGTTCTCGCTTATTTTGCCAATTTGTCAGATTCATACTATAACAGATTTATCATTGATTTAAAAAATTAAAATTTCTTATTATATAGGTTTATCATTAACTTGAAAATTAAAATTTCTAATTATTTTGTATGTTTAGGAAGAAGAGGAACGGTATCACAAACTCTTTTTCATGTACACATAAATTTGAATTTTATATTATTGATATATAAATTCTTTATTGAAATTTATATAGAGTAAAAGCCATTACTTAAAAACTGTAAACTTAAAATGTAAACTTAAGGATTGAGTTACAGTATCATCCCTTATGTAGATCATACATTTGACAAGTATTCAACAATTCCTATTTTTGGCATCTAAAAATTATATCTTTTTTACATATATATTATGATATAATATGATCATATGACTGTTGTTATGTCCTATTTTCTTTAAATGATTTTTTTTTAATTATATTTCTTTTAGTTGTAGTACTGTTTTTTTATCGTATGACCAGGAAATTGACAAAGATCAACCTAGTTGCAGATCATCATATTAAAGACGACTTGGGAAAAACTAAAATGCATAATTATTTAATTGTGTTTTATGCACTGCTTATTTATGGTTTGTATATATTTTATTATAGTTAATGTTGATGGATAGTTAGAGCTGACTTTCATAATTCCTATGCACAAAATACATATGGCAAGTTTTAAACCAAGGTTTTAAATAGCGGGCTAAAACGTTTATGACACTGTAGCTATAGCGGAGCTATAGCGGAGATTTAGCGGGATTTAGCGGCTAAATTGCACATGAATACAAATAGCGGCACGCTGCCAAAAAAAGCTATTTCTCAAATAGCGGCAACTTTAGCGAGCTATTTATTTCCTTGTTTTAAACAATTAACCGCTTAATTGAGTGGAAGCAAAAGATTACAAAAGTTGACGGTTGGCTTAAAATGCATGACTGAGACGAATATGAAAGGATAAAAAAATGGTTGTCCATGTGTCTTGCAACTAAAGTTCTTTCTATAAATGGAAAGTATATTGGGGACCTACCATTAAAATTTACCAAACATGGTAAGAGTTGCCTACTTATATAGCCAGCACAGATGAGTTTTACTTGTAATGTACAACCTACCTTCAATATGGCTATTTTCTTTCATTTCTTCGAAGAAATTTTGCAATGTCAGAGTCCTGAACAATATAGCTTAACCCATTTCTGAAAGTGATATGTTTTTTTCAGTCAAATGGTTGAAATGTGAACAGAACTAGTTAGCCAGTCGATTTTGATTGATTAATTTTATTATGCCTTTGCCTTCCAGGGTTTTTAAGTCTATCATCTTCTGATGTATCTTAATCCTAAACCATCACCTCTTCTGCTTATGATTGTGTGCTTTTGTTTGCGTTTATCAATCACGTTTTCCCTAAAATTTCCCTTCGTTGGGAAAGTGAATTATGACGGTTCCCCTTTAATACCCTCAATGCGTAGTGGAGTGCCGTTCAAGCAGCATTATAATATTCATGACTTGGTGGCTAGGAAAAATTGTTAGTGAACCAAAAGAGATATCAACTAGCTTTGGTGCAGCCTTGTGGCCGTCCTTAAGATCTTGCAAGCTCACTTTTTGGGTCAAATTCCCATGAGATATGATAGCAACTTTTACTTTTAGATGAGATACAAAGATAAAGACATCAGCTTTGTTATCTGCCAAAGATTCACATATCTTTAGTGTTTGTGTGTATTCCATTCTATACCTGTAATTTCTGCAGCCCATGTTCTTGGTCATGCTTTAAATTTGTGCTTGTGATATTATGCAGGCAAATGAAGATAACACCATGCACTTTATTTTAATCGATGGCACCTGGAGCAACTCAAGTGCAATGTTTAGGCGCTTACAGGTTTAAAAGCACAAATTATTAGTTACTTTTCGTCATTGCCTTGCACACATTACACATGCGCATAAAGAACTTAACTGTCATAGTTAACTGGATGACAAGTTTTTTCTGTTTGTGTTGGTCCTTGTGTCAAAGTAAGCCATGGTAAGAAAATTAACCGTCAGGGAATGACCTACTCATGTTATCATTTTACATTCTTATGCCTAACGTCTAAAATGGGCTCATCCAGAGTTGAAATTTTCAGTAAACTGATTTTCCATACAGGATCGAGCTGAACTAGAATGGAATAAGGAACTTCGTTGCATAACTTTGAACATGGGTGTATCTTTGATGCATAAACTAAGGTACGTAAGTCAAACATCAGCCGATCACCTCATTAAGCTTGTTTACCCAGAGATCTTGTTTCTGTTTGTTCTGTTTCAGACTGTTTTTTATTGTTCCAGTGCTTTTTTCT